CTCTCTCTCTCTCTCTCTCTCTCTCTCTCTCTCTCTCTCTCTCTCTCTCTCTCTCTCTCTCTCTCTCTATATATATATATATATATATATCTATATACAGTCCCCTTTCTATTGAGGGATCCCTCAAATAATTTTATTTGAGGGACGCCCTTTAGGGTACCCTACAATTTTTTTTCTAATGATTCAAACCGTCTATTTTTTAGGTCTTCATTCATAGATCATCCTTACAAAAAATTAGACAAATTGGAAACTCTTTCGACATCGAATTGGGTCCTACAAAATCAATGAACATGGTGCTTCAAGAAAGTACTAAAATTTCAATAACTCAATTGAATGGTCAAATGATATCGAATTCAAGTGATTTTTTTTAGAGATGATCTTTGAATGAGTATCTACAAAATAGACGGTTTGGATTAGTGAAATGCAAACCGGAGTGGGCCCTACAAGGGGTGTCCCTCAATATAAGCTGTGTGTGTGTGTGTGTGTGTGTGTGTGTGTTGTGTGTGTGTGTGTGTGTGTAAGACACAAAAGACACAAACTCAAACAAAATCAAATCTAAAATCCTAATGAAAGCCCCAAACTAACCTGATCTCCAACGCGAGGAAAGGTTGGGGCTTTCTACTCTTTCATCATCATCATGAGTTTTTATTTATTTAATTGATTTCATCCAAAGCCCTAACAACCATCCTATCCTTCCCAATCAAGGACTCTGATTGTGCGAGAGAAGGAGAAAAAAGGAGAGAGAATTGGGTTGAGGGGAAAAGCACAATAAGATTGACGAAATTAACCAATTTGACTTGATTTGCTGACGACGTGAAGTATGATAATGAAATTGGAAAATTTGACATTTCAGTGACCAAATTTAAATTCTAGCCTAGCCCCAGCAACCAAAAATGTAATTAAACCTTATTATACCAAACTCTTCATATACAATTCTAGAAAATGGGGTTTTGCCGCAGTGCTTGAGCGGCAACCATTTCCCCCCTCCCCCCAAATTGTCAACCCGGGTTCGATCCATATGAGATGATCTTTCAAAAAACCCACCCCATGCATATTACACCCGCTCCCCTTCCCAGCGTTTGACCGAAAAAAAAACCCAGAGAACGGAACTATTTAAATCATACAAATTCATACAAATTCACTTTTCGGATTTACAACAAAGGAAGTGATGGATAGAGTCCTATTTAAATCATAATGCTCCTTTGCATTTCTCTATGAAATGCAACTGAGCAAGGCACGTATTTATACTGTACCTGCCCTATTATAAATGTAAGATTTTGCAAAATACAAGTAGATAGCCAATTCTACTACACTGATTCCACCAAGTAGCCAATAGAAGTAATCCAGATGTGCACGGTTGAGATTAGTGGAAAACCAGCTAGTTTCCCCTGCCCAAGTGGTTGCGTCATCAATGGCGGAGATAAGAAAGCTGCTCAGAAAGCTTCCCACACCAAAAATACTGAGGTAGAGGGCAAGTCCGATACTCTTTAATTCATTTGGCACCTGATCATAAAAAAACTCTTGCAGACCAACCATTGTGAAAACATCGGCCAATCCGGCCAACAAGTACTGAGGAACCAACCACCAAATACTCATTGGAACCGTGGCACTTGGCATATCAAGCAGACCATAATCTTTGGCAGTTTTGAGCCTTTTCATCTCAACTAGAGCTGCAACTGCCATGGAAATAATAGATATAAACATACCAATCCCAATTCTTTGCAGCATTGTAATTCCCGAAGGTTTCCTGGTGAAAACTCTAGCTATTGGAACAAAAATGCGATCATAAATGGGAACGAAGATGACAATGGTAATGCTGATGAAAGTCTGAAGTGAAGCGGCTGGTATATCAAGGCCCGGTGCAATTGTTCTGTCCATGGTGGCACCTTGCTTAGTGAAGAAAGTTGAATACTGTGCAAACACAACCGCATATGCCAAGCATGTAACCCATATTGGAAAAAGCCTAAGAACAGATTTTGCTTCTTCAACCTCAGCGACAGTACACACCTTTCTGTTTTCCTTCAAATCATCCGGTGCAAGCAATGCTTTGTTCAGGAACCTGCCAGTAAATAATATCATAGGAGTTTCTTTAGTTGAAATCACTGTGCAAGTGAAAGTTGGAGACATACTTAATAGTTCCATTCTACGGTGAAGTTCTAACAGTCTCGCAGTAAACATAGTATAACCAATGCAATCAAAAGGTAATAATTCATCCTCCTCAACCACCTAAGAATATAATAAATGCATCACAGGTATGAAAATTCCATCAGTGAGACAACTATCATTTTATTAAATTCTAAGATGTTCTTAGTACATAAGAAAGAAAAGTGCTGCATGAAAATGCCACTCAACTTAACTAAATTGACCTAAATTTCAACTAATTAAGGTTATTGAGTTAAAATGAAAACAGGAAAGATGATAACATGAAATATAATGGAATTTTGTCATAAGCCATAAAAATGTAATGGACATGTTTCCAACACTAATATTTGTCTTTCATCAATTGCTTTTCAGTACAGATTACTGAGAGTGCCATGAAAGAAATACTGGGTTTTGATATATATCAAACTTCCGTATTCAATCTTGTTGCTACTTTCTCCCTACTCTTTAATCTAAAAATATGCAGACAATTAACTCTCTTACTTGAATTGTTCAGAACTTTCGTGAGGCAAGGTTCCGCGGGATTCCTCTTCAGAAGTTATTGCTGAAGGAGTAGTTCGCCAGTTCCTTAATGCAGTGACAAACACCCTTCCAATTCTTACAAATGGGCTTTCCTCGTCCCCTTTGATACTATACCGGTAAGTTCTAGTTCCGAGCAAGAAAATAAACAGTGCAAGGACCATCGCAATACAAGGAATTCCAAAACCCAGACCCCAACTCAGGTTGTCCTGTATGTAGGTCAATAGTATAAGTGTAAATGTGGTACCGAAACATAAGCTAAAATACCACCAATTAAAGAATGAGCTTTTGGCTTTGCACTCCTCTGGATCTGACGCATCAAATTGATCAGCTCCGAAAGCCTGAACGCAAGGCTTGTGTCCACCTTGCGCAACAGCTACCAGATACAGAGAGAAGAAGAAGAACAATACTTGAAACTGAGAAGAACATGATGTGGATTGATTGATCTTTTGGCAGTCAGAACCAGTGAGAGAAGGAAGCACGGCTGACAGGGTCAACAAGCCAAGTCCCTGTTTCAAGAATGATAGCATTCAGACAAAGCAAGAAGTACAAAGTAATACTCAAACTTGAATTCATAGTTACTCCTGAAGAATAAATAATCATTTTTCAGTAACCTCATCCATCATAAGAACATAATCTGAAGACTTTCAAACAGGGGATAAAGTGGGCCGGTTTTGAAAAAGGATCCACCATGACAAAAATAGGATCATTACTTCACGTCGCGCTGCAAATTAAAGCGATCCTCAGTTATGATAATCGATTTATCCTCCAAAACCTCTTAACAAATCCCATTGTTATCCAAAGGCAATCAGGCTTGGGATTGCCTGAAGATAGTTCTATCCCAATTCAATAATATTTCATTTTATTGTTTTCATTCAATGCTTTATGGTTGGCAAGCTTAAGTCCTTTATTATCCAAGGCATAACAAGAACCTAGGAAGTTTGTTCCCTACTTCCTGTATTTTATAGAATATACAAAGTTACTCCAAGAATTTATAAGAGGAGGACACACAGGCATGCAGTCCTATTATTTATTTAAATAATAAAATAATAAAAAAGTAAAAAATGGTGGGCTATTGCCATGTATCCTACTTACCCCTACAGAAAATTACTATAAAAGTCTTTAAAAAAACTAAGATTAAACAAAAATGAACAGAAAATCTTGTAGCTGCCATAACCATGAGGCCAGGGGCCAACCAGGGTGCTGCAATCCAAGGACTGGGGGCTCTGCTATATTTCGATTTCATACTCATCTGCTCGCTAGTTTTTGTTGGTGGATTCAATGTCAGCTTATTAGAGTTCAATTATATTATGCCATCATACTTTGTCCTCATTTATTTGGTCCTTTCCAGTTTATGTGTGGAAAGAACTATAGAGTTGGAAATCAAACTCTTTTATTGAAAGAAAGAAAGGAATTACAATTTTTTGAAGAAGGATTCTTTTAGAGTAAAAAAAAAGGGGAACAAAATACAAGATAAATGAAAATTTGTTTTTTTTTGGTCGAAGATAGATGACATTATTTGGCGAATACACGTTTTGGTGGTTTTGGGGAGAGTCGGAGAAAATACAAAGTAGATTTTTAAGATATGGGCGGCCTATTAAAAACAAAAACAGTTGAGAACAGATCACAATAGATGGAATTATGTTGAAAATTGTTAAGCAAAAATGACTATTTTTTCACTTTTTGCATGGAGGAATAACATTGTACTCTGTTTTGCATGGAGAGAGATGGACTTGAGTTGAGATGGAGTTCAGATAAGGGTATTTAACTTTTATTTTAGGCAAAATGGTTTAATTAGGGTAAGATGAGCGGAAGTGGAAAGGAAATAAGTATATATGTGGTGAAAATATAATATTAATATTTTCTGGAATATGGTTGGTGAAAAAATAATAGGAATGGACTAACATTAACATACTACCAACCATTCCACTAAAAAAATATCAAAGCATGCATCATGAGAAGTTATAAAAAAAATGAAGGAGAGAGAATGTGATTGATTTAAATAATGGAAAATATGTTGATTACCATGAGGCACTTTAGTTTTAAAACTAATTATTATTATTATCTAATCTAAATATTATTAAGAAAAGGCTCCTTGTCAATCATTATACAAAGTTCCAAATATGTCCCTATTCACACTTATATTTTTTTTAAAACCTAATATATAAAGGATACAGCAGTAATTAACAATTAATTCCCAAAAAAAATAATAATATAATTCAACCGTGTTTTTCTCCACTATTTCCTTTTCCTCTCATTTCTCGAGCAAAATGATTTTTAAGAGTAATTATCAGAATTGTTTTATACTAAGGGCAAGATTGACATTTTCTCATGTTCTATTAAATAGATTTTATCACCTTGAAATAAGAAAATAAAGACTACCGGTTAGCTCATGGATGAAACCAATTTTGTCACGTGCGTGTAATGTAGAGAGAGCGAGAGAGAGAGGAACCGACGCGTACCAAAATATAGAGCAGAGAAGCAAAAACAATAGTGCGGTAGCGTCCAAGAAAAGAATCAGCCACAAAGGCTCCCAACAAAGGAAGCAACGACGCCGTTCCGGACCAAATGTTGACATTCTCAGCGGCCGTGGCCGTGGACTGCCCCAAAGGCCCCGTCAGAAAGGTGATGAGGTTGCAGCTGATTCCATAGTATGCGAACCTCTCTGCAACCTCCACCCCTGCAAAATTGAAATCAAATTTCACTCTAAAAATTAATTTAATTATGCTTGAAAAAATAAATATTTAATGACTGCATCGATGATCCAGTGCGGGCGTACCTATTATAAACCACGCGGAACGCCAGCCGCCAGATCTGGATCTGTGTACTGGGCGGCCTTTGTAGTCGACGGCACCCTCTACGACGTCATCTAGTAGTGGGGTTTGTACTCCCGCAGTCCCGTGGTGAGAAGTGGCCATCGGTTTCTTTAAGTTGTAGTGGAAATTTGGTTGAAATGTGGACTTGAACCAGAACTGTGTCCGTCTAGAGCAGCATCTAGTATTTCTAGCCAAAATAAAATATATAAAAACAAAACAGAAAATTGTGTACGAATACGAATACGATACATACTCCAGCAACCTTGTGATATTTTATTGCAAGTGGTTATATTATTATAAAATTGAGTAAAAGATGCTCTTCATTAATTTTGAAAAAACACGTGTAACACTCCGAAGAGAGTATGATTTCTCTTAGGCGACTATGATCATTATTAGTATGAAAATTGTGTTGTTATTTCATAGACTCTAGCATAGGTTGAAAATTAGTATGTGAGGAATTGGTACTAGACGTTTTGGCACAACTTATTCAATCTCATACTTCCGAGGCATGACTTGACCGATATGAGAAACTTGACAACAGGTAAATCATGACATAATCATGAATTCACAATAGGATTTATAGTTGAAGTTATTTATGTCATTGTGATTTAAGTTAAATATTACTGGTTCCTATAGTGACGTGCACCATGCTTATTTCCTAATTAACTTGTTTTAGAGCATCTACAATCATGCTCTCTATTTTTTAGTTAAAATTTATCTAAAAACACTAGAAAGTTATTTTAGGAGCTCTCTATAAAATTTCAAGTCCAACCATCCTCTCTAGTTTAAAGAGTCATAAATGTTTTTAATGTTTTTTAAATTCAATTTTTGAATAAAGTGTAGACACAAAAACAACAATAAAAAATAGTTGGCTTTAAATAAATGCTTAAAATAATATTAAATAAAGAAGCATTTAATTATAGGGAGTCACTAGGAGTCCTTTCTCTCTCCTCAGATTTAGGAGCTCCTAAAGCTTTCCCTATTTTAGGAGCTGAATATGGAGCGTGGTTGGAGGTGAGTTTTTTTAATTCCTCCCTAAATTTAGTTAAGGAGGTGGTTTAGGGAGCCCATTGTGGATGTTCTTAGGAGATAATTGTTTCTTTATAAAAGTGATTGTTTGGTGTCTTCACTAAGAGTCCATATTGAATCACAATTCATATTCATCATCAGCTAGTATTTTATTTTATGTTTGGCGTCTTAATAAACATACCATATTGCATCAGGTTTTGTGGTGTGGTAGTTGAATAAGGTTGAATGTCTTCGTTGAATAGGATTGGTGGTCACGTAGGTTTCTCTTGAGTGAGAGAACCTGTTTTGAATAAAACCAAGGTGTCTTCTTTTCAAAGTGTATGCTTTCAACGTATTAAATTTTTTAATATATTGAATCTGTTTTGAGAAAGCTGATATGCTTATTTTATTAGATAAGTCATCAAGTGTTCCTTGTTTACTTGGTGATTTATCAAATCCTTTCTTCATTCATATTGCATTCATATGCATGTCAGTGACTCATACGATTGAGAGCACCAAGACCGAGGTGGCGGTTTTCCTCCGGCGAACTTGAAGCAATTGTGATCAGTATTGCATTTAACATAAGGAGTGTCGAAGATCATCCCGTGACAGAAGTTGAGTTACGAAGAAGTCAGTAAACATTATCTAGAATGTGTCTAGGATAAATGTGTGAGTACTTCTTGTAATCATCGTTCTATTGTGGATTTGAGTTAGACTGAGGAGTCCCGTGAATTTTTCCCATATGTGGGGTTTTACCACGTAAAATAATTCTATGTGTGTTTCTTTATTTTATGTTCAGCACGTTTCAGGAATGATAAGCCATATCAATCCTGTTACCGAAGTTTATTTTTTGTTTATTGATTATAATCTTAAATTGGCCTATTCACCCCCCTCTAGGCTTTTTTAGTCATCCTACCGGTAATTTCAATCAGCAATCCCCACAAGAGGTGTTACATTTGGGTTATGAAGAGAGCTAGAAATCATCAATCTCTACAACTTAATCAAATATAAAACAACAGGATTAGAAGCCAAACCCCCTAAAAATAAAAATTGAAACATGTTGATGCTCTTTTTCGGAGAGGGTCAACTTAGAGAAAAGGAGGTTTGCCTTCAGCAGGGAAAGGGCTTGGACCTTCAATAAAGGCTAGCCTGCAGAAGACAAAAATATGAGAAGCAGTCTTTAAGCTTCGGACACCAGTGTGGTGCCAGCCGAATGCTCTCCGATACTTAAGTCAGCTAAGAGGGGTAACTTTAGCAGAGAAATAATAAAAGGTAAGAAAGTAGTTACCCTTTTTACTAGGGTACTGTTCCCTTTTTATAGGGAAGTGAAAGTGGGAGGTTTGTGTAGATTTTCGATGTGGGACTTTGTGCAAGTCGCTGTGGTGGTGACACGTGTCATGGAGATTAGGTTTACCAATTGAGACCTTCAGCAGTCGAGAGTTTCGGCAGATGCTTGGCACCTCGGAAGAGTGTCTTCCTTCGGCATGGGAGAAGGCGTGTCTACCTTGGTGCTAGTTGTTTTGAGGCTGGATATGCTCGGTTGATTATGGTGTAAACAGTAGTCCACCAAGTTCGCGGTCAAGAAGTGACTTCTAGGTTGGGAACTTTTGAGCTCCTTGTGTAATCATGACCGAGCATTCCAGGTTCAGTGGGAGCCGTAGGGTAGTCTCTAGTCCCCCAAGTTGGCAAGGTAGAAGTTGCGTTAATACTTGGTAGGTATGATCAAAGCTGTGTTAGCCTCTAGGACTGTTGGTGGCCAGGTACCTAGGCTTTTGGCAAGTCTTTGGAGTCGGGCCCTTGTGTTTCGGGAGCTAGGCTTTGGCAGGTGGAGGATTGGGTAAGCCATTTCTTGTTTCAATGCCCCTTGCCGTTCGGCAAGGAGGCCAAGCCATTCTCCCCTTGGTTTTTGTTTTTTTTTGTTTTTTTTTTTGAATGGCCAGCTAGACTTTTGGCAAGGCTAATGCTCTGTAAGCTGAGACTTGTGGGAGCCTTCCAAAACAAAATTCATGACCCCTGCCGTTCGGCAAGGGGTTTGGGCCTTGGGTTCGGTTTTGGCCAAAATAGTTGGGCTTCTGTCAAGGCTTGGGGAATGGGGTGGGGCTGAGCCCGAGTTGGGACTAGGGTTTGGGAGGAGCAAGACTGTCTTGTTTTGTATAATACCTGCCGTTCGGCAGGGTTTAGGAAAATTTTTCGAAGCATCTTGTCGTGTCTTCGGCAGGTGGAGATTTCGTGGGCAAGCTCGTTCGGTAGGCATATCTGGTCACAGCCTTTCTTGAGTCTGGGAATTGGAGCTGGGACCGTGACTGTCCTCCCTTTGAATTCTCACGGCCCTTGCCGTTCGGCAAGGGTGGGGGTGCGAGTTGTTTTCCAGCAAGGCTTTGGAAGGGGCTCGATTGGAGTGGTCACCAAGGCATCGGCAAGAGTGGAGCTGGAACCGTGATGGGATAGGTTCTCTTTAAGGCCTCCATTTCCAATGATCAAACCTTACCGTTCGGCAAGGGTGGGCTAAGTTGTTTTTGACACCACCGGTGTGGCACCACGATCCGTGCTCTTTGGTAAGGACCATCTGGGGCTAGTCTTATCGTTCTGAAGTGTGTGGCGGAGAGGGTTTCGAGGGCACCCCCGGAGCTGGGCCCGTGGTGGCGTCATCTCGTTAGGCGGGCCTTTACTGGATTCGCCGGAGCTTGAGCATAAGTGAGCTTGGAACCAGGCTTGGGTGACCGTGGCTGGTATTGAGGTGAGCATTTTGCGGACTCATTTCTTGTTGCTTAACCCTTGCCTTTCAGCAAGGGTGAATTGGGAAAACCTTGAGCTGCCCTTTGTTTTTGTGCTTAATTTTTTCCAGGAAATAGGCTGAGCCCACGTGTGCTGGAGCCTAGGCTCAGAAGCTAGGCTTGTGTCAGAGCTGGGTCGTCCGAGTTGGTAATTTTTGGTGAGCCTCCCATTTCACAGCTGGGTCGGGACGTGAGTCGAGCCTCGTGACCACGGACTGGGTTCTCCTTGCGATTTGGGTGTCTTGATCAAACTGTGACTCCTCCCTCCTTTTTTTTTTGGCAGCAATCTATTTCCAGGTTTTGGGTTCTGAGAGCTGTCGGCAAAGTTTTGTTGTTGGACACCACCGGTTCGGCAAGGCACACCGAGGGCTAGTTGTCGTCGTTGGAGATCCCCAACGGTAAAAGAGTGCTGGAGTAGACTTGGAGACTCGGTGCTCGGTAAAATTTGCAGGCCGAGGTCGGGCTCAGCAAGAACTTTGAGGAGGTTCCTCTTATCGTCAGCATAGCCCTTGCCGTTCGGCAAGGGTGCTATGAGGCTTTGCTAGCATTTCAGTGTTGGATTTTTGGAATTGTAACTGGGTTCTGGCGTTAGAAATCTGTCGACAAGGCCAGCTTCCACACGGCAGGGCCGTGACATTGTAAGTCTTCCCTAAGTACTCCTACCCTATGCACAACTGAAGTCTTCTCTATCATCCCTGTAAATAAATCAAAATGGCAAAAAGAGAAAAAAAAAAGCTAAGATTATAAACATAAAAAATTAGGTGGAAGAGAAATTTTACCATTGGTCCATACTTCCATAGAAAACTTGTAAAATGAGCATAAAAAAGACCATCGAGAACCTGCAAAAGGAAAAATATATAAATAAAATGATGGTGAAAGGAGAAGGTAACAAATTTTCAACAACAAAAAAACATACGACTCACATAGAAAACCTGCAAAAGAAAAAGTTATAAATCTGCAAGCTTCCTCATCATCTCCTGATAACCAAATCAGAAAATCTAAAAAGAAACCAGAAATAAAAAAAAATATGTAAACAAACCAGACAAATCAAGAAAGACAAAATCTGAAATTAGGGAGACAAAGAACATACCAGAAACGCAAAGAGACTAATCCAGAATTCACTAGCAAGATATAGAAGGGTATTTTAGAGAGTTTCATGAGGGTGTTTTAGAGAGTGCAGGAGGGTTCCAAAGAGGGAGAGATAAGGTTTTCAGATACGGGGGAAAATCTGAAAATTTGTCAAGCGCAAATTCACTTAAGTAGCCTTTTTTTATCGTGTTTTAAAAGATGACGCTTATTAATGAGAGATAAGGTTTTCAAAGACGGGTGAAAATTTGAAAATTTGTTGAGCGCGAATTCACTTAAGCGGCCATTTTTTAGAGTGTTTTAAAATACGACGCTTTTTAAAAAAAAAATCGTCATCTTTACATAAAATAGACGACCCTTTTGAAAAAAAACCGTCGTCTTTACTTCATAAAACAGTGGAAGCAGAAGGGATATAGCGGAAATTTACAGTTTTGTTGTCCAAGCTCTGATTGAGGTCCATGATACCTTTCTTAAAAGGGAATTGTTTGGACCAAAAATTGACACACCCAGCCCAGCGAAAATTAGGCCCAGAATAAAGCTGCAAAAAATCAAAGAAAGATGGAAGCCCAAAAAACCAGAAGAGACCAGCCCAAGGCTCATCAGAGCAAACAAGGCTAATCTGGGCCTCACAGGCCCAATATAATAGGAAGAGGGAGCCCAGAAATAGGAACAATCCCACGTGATATCTCTGGGATAAAGAAAAGTCAGCAATGGCAACTGTCATAGAAGAAGTGATTGAAGGGTTCATGACATCAAATTGATTCTAAAAAACTGAAGATCAAATCCCTCTTACATATATATATATATATATTCAGAGATTTTTCTTCTGTCTTTTCAGAGAAGGTAATTCTCCCAAGGAGATAAGCAAGTTACAATCTCAGAGAGGGATAAGCAGGAAAGCAGGGAGCTGTCCAGAAAAGGAGTCAAACTAACCATCACGGGTAAAATATCACAAGGGGCAGTTGAAATTGGGAAAGAGATTAGGTTCCTTTTCAAGAAAATCAGGGAAGTGATTGCCTATTTGAGAGCCTATCTGCCAAAACTGAAGAAATCCTATTTTCTTTCCTTCCATTAAAGAAGAGAAAAAGGGGGGAGATATCTTTGCCGCCCAATAAATAAACACAATCACCCTACTCCAGAGAAGAAACAGTTTACTATAAATACAAGAAGGAGTGAACAGGGTAAAGTTACAAATTTGGTTCAGCAAACCAAGACAGGCAGGGTTTGAGTCTCCTCCAAGTATGGAAAACCTCAACAAAATTCACAGTGCAGTCTCTAGCCCACTGAAGCCCTCAAAAACAGTCACTCCTGCCCGTGCAGATTGAGAAAATTGCAGTTCTGCCCACTCAAAAGCTTCACAAAAGCATGAGGTACATCAAAGCTCTGCCAGAATCAGCCTTTGGTATCGATTTACAAGTTGAAGCCTAGCAGCCAAGGTTGTCAACGGTCCAGTCCAGCCCAAGCGTCCCCAGTCCAGCCCGGGTATTTCCAGTCCAGTCCAGACCAGAACCTTCTATCTCGACAGAAATAAAGCCCCGGCTATCCCTTTCATCTTCCTCTAGTATAAGCATTCACTGTTATATACATTTTTTTGTAAAAGGCAGTTCCGCCTAAAGAACAATTTAAATCAATCCAACTATTCTGGCCAAGGCAACCTCTTTATACTGAGATAAATTGTTAAAGTCCTCACCAGTCTGAGGCAGGAAAAGAACTTACTTGGGAGATATTCCTCACCCAAATTCACAATCGTTTGTTTGCAGAAATCAGTAACTTGGGACGCAAGTTATCCATTCCAAACCAAGTCTGCTAGAAATTTTGCTAGCAGTGGCACGCTCGCACACCAAAGAAAGCTGACTTGTTGACCAGTTTATGGTTCTCAAGGCAGTGGGGAACTTTGCCCTTCCATCATAGGAGTAAACCAAGAACGGGCAAACAACAACGTCCAAAACTGTGCAATACACCAACAACTCCATTTTAGAACGAACTGCGTACGGACCTGAATTGTCTGATTTCATGGACCAATCAATATCGAATTGAGTCAAAAAATTTGGGAACATCATAATATGCTGGGAGGAGTCATTTGGGAAGTTTTGAGTGAAATCCAATCTCTTGAACTATGCAATACACCGACCACTCCATTTTGGAACGAACTATGTACAAACCTGAATAGTCCAATTTCATGGACCAATCGATATCGGATTGAGTCCAAAACTTGTGGAAAATCATAATATGGTGGGAGGAGTCATTTGGTGGGTTTTGAGTGAAATCCAACAACAAAAACTATGCAATACACTCACAACTCCATTTTAGAATGAACTTCGTACGAACCCGAGTTCTCCGATTTCAAGGACCAATCGATATCGGATTGAGTCCAAAACTTGGGGAAC